TTTCTCACACTTTCCTTATCCCCTGTTAATAGTGCTGATCCTGTCCTAGAGACCCTCTTCAGACCTGAGGTTCACTGATGTTTTTCTCATGATAGGATTTTTGAAAAGAATAATTTAATGAGAAGAGCTCTCTTTTGTCAAACGATAATAACGTATATCAACATTTTTAAAAATAGATTTTGTAGTTAATAGTGGTTGAATGGTGTGGAGTGATCAGGTTTTGTCTAGTTTCCGACAGATGCAAGTGAGTAAGTTTATAGGAAATCAGGCGGGATGGCACAGTCAGCAATGGAGAAGGAGTAATCAGATCTGAGAGTTAAAAGACAGATGTTTATTCTAGACTAAGCCACAAGCTAGTCTTTAGGGGAACAAACCACAGTGTTCTGTTGTTTGTTTTTTTCATCTGCATAATGTAGAAGTTGACATCTCAGACCACTTACAGTCCTGAAATTTTTTGATTCTAAAAACTATGGAGATGAGTTTCATTAGCCAAATCTTATTCACAGTTCTATTTCTTAAAAGAATGGGTTGAGATGCTAAGTAAGATCTACCAAAATTCCAGGGTGTTTGCATAAGGCAGTGGCAGGGAGGTCATTCTGCTGTAGTAACTGGCATTTATGACACTTGCAGCCTAAGAATGTCAGGTGCCCAAGAGGAAGAAAGCAATTTTCAAAAACTAAAAAAATTTGACTCATTCACTCATCTTCATGCCTAGGACTCCTTATTATTCCTTCCCTTACAATGGGCTAAGAAGTAAATGATGTAATTTGTTTTTGAAAAGTCTAAAAGGGCACACATTTTCATACTTAAAAAATTTTGATGTTGACTCTTTGCGTAAATCTTGCCGGAAATGAGAATGTTTGGCTTGCAACATCGGATGCTTTCCATTGCCAGTAATTTGTACAGAGGCCGAGATTGCAAAACCACAAACATTTCACAATAGTGGAAGCCTCTAATTAACCATAATAATGACAAGATGGATTTGTTTTAAATGCATAGTTAATAATCCTTATAGTTTTAAGAACATCAACAGAGATCTTTCTATTGAGGTAAAATAGGTACATTTCAAATGATTTTGCAAAATAGTTTTGCACCTCTGCATGTTAAGTTTGACCCAGAACATTCTACTCATATTGGATCAGCCTCTCATGTGATGTGATTTGTCTGTGGGAATTGTATTGGCTGTGAAACCAGCTCCTCTTAGTAGCTGTTGTTAAAAAAAAGGGCAGCGTAATTCTACAGTGTGTTTCAAATGACTGAAGCCAGTCATTCCTAGGCACTGAGACAAGAAGAAAAGGTCAAACGAGACCTTTAATGTGTATTTGTATTTAAACATCAGACCTAACAGAAAACCCCGAAGCTTTATACAATGATTGGAGCCTTGTAAGAGCCCAATTAACGTATTGTCAGGTGAATCGTTTGCCTGGCACTCAGCTGTTCTGAAGAACACAAGGGGACTCAGTTGCCGCCTAGAAAGAATAGATGCAGTTGTAATGATTCAGTGGCCTGCCTGAAAGCGACATGTAAAGGCAGCTGCGTCTGGTGTGCTGTCTTTTCAGACTCACTTGATAATGCTAGTGTCACTTTCAGCTGAAGCGTGTGCCAGATTTCAGATAGCTTAAACTGGCATTTTAGAGCGGTTAATTGTGAAACTTGAGAAGAAAATGGGCACATTCTTCCAAAGATGGCTATTCAAATACATTCTCTCTCCCCCACAGATTTCTACGTCTTACTTTTGTTGTTTCCACATGAAATGCAGAAGGAGCACCGAGCCCTTCCCCCGGCAGCTCCTCATTGCCGTCATTGCTGGGACTGTTCTGCTTGTTAAAATGTGCCCCGTGTATTAAAATGCAATTGTCACTGCTGGGTGGTGCAGCATAACATGGTTTGACACTAAGTGCCGGCAGCTACAGAAAACAGACTTTTATTGCATTTATTCTTTGAGAGAAGAGAGTCTCTAAAGGCTCACAGCAGACATTCACTTAGTTAAATCTGAATGAACCCAAAGTGAACAATCTACACTGCTGTCTTTGTGTTCACAGAAACAGCCTCCATCCGGCCTCACATGACTGTAAAACAGTGTTAAGAAAAGATGGTCATATTTAGAATCCAGAAGGGAATACTTGAAGCTTTCAGGCCAGAACAAAAATATTGTAGGTGGGTGGTGTGCGTTCACCACCTGCTTTTCTGTTTTAGTTTTTTTGTGTTTTCCCTAAAACACATAATGTAGCATTAACTAGTACACACACATTAACCTCTATCTAGTTTTGGTCTTTGGATAGAATTCCACGTCATTTTAAGACAAAGTAAAAGGATTTGATTTGTAGGTCTTTTGCAACATGCTTTAGAGTCTTAACTGCCTTTTAGCTAGACGAGTACCCAGAGAGAGATTGAACAAGGAGGGGGCTCTAGGGTATAAGCTTTTCATTCTGTAGCTCTCCTGGAATAAAAATTCCATAAAGTAACATCTGTAGTAATTAAGGGCTTACATTTCCACTCCCATTCATGTCTCTGCTAGGAGGAAAGGTTATTTTCCCTAAGAGACAACAGATAGTAGATCCTGTGGGAAGAGAGAAAGAGCAGTTAGAATTCTTTTGTTCCTAGAAATGGAAGTTTCTTACTTTAAAAAATACTTATTTTAAACAAATTGGGAGACTGTGGTAACAAGTTCCACTGGAAGAAAACCTGTAAGAGTTGGGGAAAACGCATCTATCTGGTCCTAAGCATTCGGGATAAAAAAAGATTCATCTTGATTTTCTTATTTGAATATCTTCTGATGAGGGAGGCCTTGCTATTAAGTAGTGAATGAAATCCTAACTTTATTTTTTATCTATTAAGATTTCATATTATGAAGATTAAAATGTTTTATTTACACATCAAATTTACTCAGGAAGATTTTCCCTAAATAATGCATGAATCTTTGGTGTCATCTTATAAAATACCGGTCAATTAATATCAAATTAGTTTCTTCCACAATATTTTCATAGCCAGATAAGCAACGTAAATTATGGAGCCCAGTGAAGGACAACAATGCAGGACCCTTTGCTTTAAAATTATTAACGACTTGAAGACAGTGAGGGCAGAGATTTCAACCAGGTGCAGGGTTGTTCGAAGGAAAGCGCTCTGTGTGAAGACAAGGGTGACACGCCCATGAATTTGTCCTGATTGATGGTGGAGGTTTGCCACGCATAGCAATACAGAAAAATTTCATACCATGCTTCCAAGGATTGGGTATCTAAAACGAACTTGTTCAAAATTGTCAGAAAATAATTACAGCTCCGAGTAGAACCACTTCAGATGTTTTCTCTACATTTATTAACGTGGGGACACACATAACTTGTCTGAGTCTTCTACCAGTTTCGCAGGCAAACTCCACACCACACTGTGGTCTGAGCTCTTTTCTGCATCATACAGAGGACCCAGGTCCTCCCAGCAGCCCTGCTCAGCCCCATTACCTATTTACTTCCCCAAAGGTCTTTTCTGCCTTCTGAGCCTGCTTCCCACACTTTCCTGGCTTCTCTGCTCCCTCTCATATTTGAATTTCTGTAGTATTTGTTAACATATTTTTCTTATCTTGTTTCTCGTACATGTAATATGGTCCCCCAAAACACATGTAAAATTTAGATACAGAAAGTTTTACAGCTTGTAGTGATGGGCTCCATTCCAAGAAAGTTCATATTAGTAACATAACAGAAAATAGAAAGTTATACTTTGCCTTTGGGCCAGATTTCACACATTTCATATACATTCTTTCCTGAGCATGTGAGCTGTTTTAAAGTTTATTTTTGTCTCTAGTATACTCTTTGTAGGATTTCATTTCCTTTCATCAAAATGAGTTCTTTAATCTCAATTATTTCCATTGAATTTTGTAAAATAATAAAAGCAGATATAATTCCTTATTTAAATATTGGTGCAAATGCTGTTGCACTTGAGACATAGCAACACTGCCAAAATGATGATGGTATCACTCCAAATGTTCATTACTTGGATTTTCTGTGAGATGCAATAATTTTGCACAAGAATCGCAGTTTAGGAGTATTGGTATCTAGTGCAAAATAGAAAGTGAGGGATTGTTCAAGCTTCAAAAAGTATAGGACCTCAGTTTCGTGTATTTATACTTCATTCTATGTGTAGGACCTCAAATAACTCATGTTGGCTGTCTTCCACACCATGGGTTTTTAATAAAAGTGTCATGATGCTGATAACTACTCTACTGTGCTAATCACTGCTTTAGGCTGAAAGTTATTCAAGTAAAACAAATTTCCTTGACTTATTTTGTGGAGTCCTTCCCAGGATAGCTGACTAGTTATAGCACAGGCTTTAATAATGGATAGGCATCGGGGATTAAATCCTCATTCTACCACTTATTGAACAGCAAGTTCATCTCTTCAAGCCTCAGTGCCTTCATCAATATGACCTACCTTTCAGGTTTACTAATTTAGTCATTCAATAAACATTTATCGATCGTTTTCTAGTGCCAAGTGTCTTTGTATGAATCAGAGAAGACAATATCTCAGGGTTACTTCCTGCTGAAGGAACACTCAGCACAAACCATCAGCATAGGCAGTGTGTGACACGGGGGACATACTTGCAATGGTGATTAGTTTGTGATGCTTTATAGCCAGACTGCTCAGTGTGGTAATGGCAACAGCTGAAAATTTGGGTCATTATCAAATCAAAGTTTTCCATTGCTCTTTGTTTTCTTCTCCCTTCCTTCCTCTCTCTTTCTTTTTCTTTCTTTCTTTCTTTCTTTCTTTCTTTCTTTCTTTCTTTCTTTCTTCCTTCCTTCCTTCCTTCCTTCCTTCCTTCCTTCCTTTCTTTCCTTCCTTCCTTCCTTCCTTCCTTCCTTCCTTCCTTCCTTCCTTCCTTCCTTCCTTCCTTCCTTCTCTTTTCTTTTTCATTTTTTCTGATAGGCAGAACATGACAAAAAAATAGCAAAATATATAAAAGCATATAAAATGTAAAAAGTGTTTGATCTTCCATTTACCTTCTTTTCCTAGAATGGAGTCTACTGAAAAATGTGAAGTGGTAATTCAACATTTTAATGGAAAATATCTGAAAACACCACCAGGCATCCCAGGTAAGAACCATCACAAAGCAGTCACTAAATAGTGCCATGGCTTATTGCTGTTATTAAAATGATTACATAGTGAGGCCACATCTGCTTTCATAAATGTATATTTTTCAATATTATGTAGTGACTGATCTTTCTTGGAAGTTTCTTGGTGATTTCTCTTTGTCTTTTCTTTGCATATGTGACATTAATTCCCTGACATGTATTACAAAGAAATCATAACAAAGCATAATTAAAGAATGCACTTGAAATGTGAAAATATTATGAGTCTTAGAATTCATGTTGAAAGTTTGGGAACATTCTTCAGGGAAAAGAGGAGTAAGATGCAGGTTAGGAAAAAGGAGGGAAGAGATGGGGTAGATGAAGGAACTGGCATGTGAAATGTACATGTACCAACTTTGCACAGGGAATATAAGCAATGTGTACTGCACACATGTATAATAAACAAAAATAAAAATATTGCATGCTTGATTTGTTGCTCATACAATAGCAGTGATATTCATGCTGGAGCTCGCAGAGTGATAGCAGTCCCCAAGCATCTTACCAGTCTGTGATAAGAAAATTTCAGAAAAAGTAAACATTTAGTAACTTTTATGGGAATTTGACATTGTTATTACATTTGAGTGCATTTTACAATTTACAGAAATATGAGTTACTGACAGATTGAAAAATTTCAAACATACTTTACAGTCATTAGAGACAGTTTAAGTCCCACTCGACTACCCCATGGCATTTCACAATTACTCATGACAAAATTCTTAAGATTTTATACATATTATAAAAAAGGATAACTTTATGCCAGTAAGACTTACCTATCAACATAGAAGAATTAAGTATAAAATGCCTATTTCAGTTATAAATGACTCGACTTGATTTTAATCTGACAATAGGATAGTTGGAAGGTACTTGATGTTAAGTAAATTTTAAAATTAATTCATTAATGCATACAAAATTAATGATTGAATGAAGTGTTAAAGTGAGAAAAAAATACAATGAGTAAAGTACTACCTGACTAACAAATATTGGTTTATTTGTCTTTTGATGATTCTCAGGGGAAAAATGACTTCAGTCTTATAGGATTTTCCTTTTGGTCTTTCCTTAAAGATGGATTTCAGTAGTGTTTGGGCTGCAACATATCTATTTAAAATCCGTTGGAGTATTCATAGGTTGAGTATTTCAGTTCTTTAAAACATACTGACATTCTATAGAAAAATGTAAATGAAATGAAATATTTGTGTGCAGGAGTCAAAGATATTTTCTGACGTGGTTTTGGGAGGATGTGAGCAGCAAAACCCTTCATACTGACATGTACATGATATGAAAAATCCAAAGTAGCTGATCACTGGATAATCAGCCAGCGAACATACAGTGAAGTCTGTGCTTTGATTTGGTTAGCTTCCATGCATAACATTCCCTTGAGAACTGGCTGCATTATGATCCAATTGGAGACATATGGTGTTGTTAAGAAAGGAGTTAGCAGTTTTCATCTCAGCGTGGAAGCTGCCCTTGCATTCTAGGAGAAATACTTTTTTTTCCTTTTAGCATAAACAGGCATTTTAAGACACTGTGCTCAGACCTGTCAGTGAATGGAGTTGCATTATAGTGGATTTTCATCTTATTTATACCAATTTATCCAACAGTTGCTGACTGTGTAAAAGGTATTCAAACTAGGTGTGGATTATGTAATTATGTAAAAGATGTTTAAAAACAAGACAACCATGTAGAAATCATTGTTGATTAAATTTCCACAGATTTTAACATTTTATGTTTCTTCCTTTTGGGGAAAGATACATTGGAAACTTCTGTGATCTAATTGATTTGAAAACATTTTATTTGATTTTCCCCATAGAACACACAGCTTGCTAATACTGTTTAATGCTACAGACAAAGGAAGTCACTATGATTCCCCAAATGCCTGCGTATTCTTCCTGAATACACAGGCTCTAACATTAACCTATCTAATATCATAGCTACACCCAATGGAAACACTGTGAATAGCAGGGACTCAGTTATGAGTTTCTCACTTACTTGTATCTCATGGGAGTAAGAAAAGTTATAATGATGTTTAGTCGTAACTTTTAGAGTTATAACTTTATGCTTCTGAGATTTGCACTTAATGATAGAATTAAATACATAATAATGATCAGCAGTTCACAAATTTGCTCTTTTATGCATTACTTTGGAAATCAAATGGAGTTTAATAAAAACTTCATATGCTAACTGAAGATACTTAATCCTCCATACCTAAACATGAGGTGGAATAAAAGAGGACATAATGAAAAGTATAAGCACTTCAGAAAATAAAGTAGAAAAATGCCCTTATTGGGTATAGTTACTAAGTCATTGCAGATGTAATCGATTTTGGGTGTATGCTGTCTGCCTTAATCAATCTTCGTGGCTCATTTGTTGTTGATAGTTGAAATCTTATTTTTAAAATTTGTATCTTAATCCAATTTTCTATTTTATCTTGAAAACAGAGGGTAGAATATCACTGGGAGCCCCAGTGGCAGATTAGAGATGATCCTTCGATTTATTTTAACAATGAACATTTTCACAGCCCCTCTGAATATAATACTTTAGAGGGCTGGCCCTTCCTTTAGGACATACTAATTAAAATCAACATTAATTCACGTGATACACTTGAAACAACAATGGAAGTGGAAAATACTGAAGAATCTCAACCTCGCTCATTATCAAGATCTACAGTGATTAAATTCAGAAATTTTGTGATTTTACAGAACTTCAGATTGATGGTTTTAATGCAGTGCTTGAAGCTGTGAATAGGGACCGACAGTGTTCCCATGACTGGATGTCTTCAGACGCAAAGAAAGCATAGAAAGGATTGAATGTTAAATCAATCCCCTTTTCATAATACATGAGATGGAGAATGATCTGGGGAGTAAGATCGTAGATTTCCTTTCATAATAGAACTTTGCTTTCACTCTTAGTTTAAATAAGTACAGATCAATTTGTGCAGTACTCATAGGGCACCTAAAAATACAACCTGGGACAACTTGCAGAAGGGTGCGGGTACCACTGAGCAACTACAGCACCATTTTGTCTCTCCTGACAGTAATGATCACTACTACAGGACATCCAAAGCCCACTATTGTCCTGACATGGCCATCTCATTTCCCAATCCCCAATTGTGCTATTTCTATTTTTTTAAAGCAAGAAAAATACATATTTTAGCCCAAAACCTTGACATGGCTCTTAATTTTATTTATTTATTAAATTTTTTGTTTGTTTGTTTGTTTGTTTTCCAGTATCAGGAACCGAACTCACGACCTTGCGCTTGCCAAGCAGGCACTGTGCCACTGAGCTAAATCCCCAGCCCCTTAACTTTAAATTCTAAAAAATTCACAAAGTTAAGGATGTTTCCAAAGACACGTAACATTGACCACACTTCAGTTGTCATCACCATTTTGATTTGAATCATTATAGAAATAATATATTTATTAAACATGATTCACATCAGTATTGGGCTCTAAAGATGCTGACTTTTGGGTCAGGCTTCATCTCTCTCTGAGCTGCTCACATTTATTTGCAAAGATCTATTTTTGATAAGTGTCATTTATCATGATTGCCTATTAGATCCTCCCCCAAACTTACTCTGTTCATTTCAGAATATAATGTTATCTCTAGATTTTGATTATCTGGACCAAGGAGGCTAAGTACACAGTATATACAAAAAAAATGGGACTACTTAGGGCTGCTATAAGTGGTATAGGAAGTTCACAAAGATCAAGCAGCAGCGTTTCTACTAGCAGACAGGAAACAGAGGCCAGAGGCACACATTAAATAGTGTCAGTCATTTGAGTGCTGTTGCCATCAGCAGAGAAGCAGAGAGAGAGAGAGAGAGAGAGAGAGAGAGAGAGAGAGAGAGAGGGAGGGAGGGAGAGAGACAGAGAGAATCATCTAGTATATTCTCCCTCCCCTAGAGAAAAAAGAAAACACAGTGTTCCATAAATGTTGCATGTCCTACATATCGATCTTGATGCTTTCTAGACAAAATGAAGGATCATTAGTTGCTTGCCTGCCTAACCCCAGACATTCTTTTGTCCCATAATGAATTGCACAGCTATGTTGTGCAGCCCCAAAGTGTTCTATTTTCAAATAGCTAGTAAAAGCCAAGGGTAAGTTCCCAGACACTTCAGGGATATCTGTAGGGCATGCACTCAAAAGGCTCACTTTCAAAGAGCCCCCAGAGCAGAGCGATGCACCATGCGGAAGAGGCTTCCACATGTAAAGACATGTATTAATGAACGGAACATGTAGGCTGGTTTAGAGAAAAATAAATCATATTTTGCTCTCAGATCAGACTTTGCCTGTAAGCACATGTTCATGTAAGTGAAACTATCTTTTCAGAAAAAATCGAATAAACTTCTTCTGACAAGGTTTTCTTATTTTTAAGATAACTTGTTTCTAACTGCAGCTGAACTCCATGAATTAGGGTAGAGAGAGGTTTGAGAGGAAGGATAACACACTGTAGGACTTCTTTAATATTAACAGATCATCTTACCGACAGAAATTTGAGTCAATAATTAAATACCAGATGGATCATATTTTGCTAATGAATAAAATAAAACAAAACATGAATGCCCTTTTGATACTTTGAGATAATAATTTTACTGCTTTGTGTTGCTGTGAATAAAATCATATGCATATCATCATGGAATACACGGATACTTTATGAGAGCATGCAAAGAAGAACTTTAAAATACAACATTTTTTAAAAAAGAAAATTATTTGTTTAAATTTAACACTCCTCCCAGAGTATCAACAACATATTTAAATACAATTTATATTAAAAGAAATGTTTTAAAAATCTGAATAATGGAGAATCAATTTACAAGTTTGTGAGTGTTGAAAAGCCTCACAATGTGTGTTTCTTCACTGGTACCAATCCATGAATTCCACAAATACAACTATCACTGAAAAACAAGAAACATAAAAAGTACTATAGGGCACAATTTTGGGGAGAAATGTGTTTATTGTTCTAGTCA